AGAGGGGAAAATCATCGTCTCTCGATCAGGTTAAGGCGAGAGGGATCGTCAGAGTCTTATTGACTTGAAACCCCCCCGTTCCTTCTCATGCTTTAGGCCAAGGCTGCGGTTCTTGATTGCGCTTGCCTCGCTACGCTGGCTGACCGCGACTGTTCTGTCTGTGGTCTATTGACTCTTTGAGGTGTGCGGAACGCTTCGTGCCTTACGCTTGCTTAAACGCTAAATTTAAATTTTATTTATCATAATTACAAAAAAAAAATTATTCTTTAAATCAGTACTAGTAACTCGTAATACGTTTTTTTTATCGATAAGACCTTAACGATAACGATTAATAAGTAGTGGTCGTGTTTCATTGATTATTACTCAAAAAGCTGATAACAAAACGAATAAAAAAATAGATACTTATTTGCGATAACTGTACTCGTTGGTGGGGTCATTTTTAAGTGATTCATCATCATCATCAGCCTATAAGTGCCCACTGCCGAGCAAAGGCCTCTTCTCATACGGAGAAGGTTAGAGCATTAATCACCACGCTTGCTCAATGTGGGTTGGCGATTTCAAACTTATAATTAGAAATTATAAGTGCAGGTTTCCTCACGATGTTTACCTTCACCGTATGTCAGTGGTGTCTAAATAATCATAGAAAGTCACATTGGTACTTGCCAGGTTTCGAACCCACACCCTCATGCATGAGAAGCGGCCGCCTTAACCTCCGGACCAAGAAGAATACTTTGAAAGAATACTTCTAAAATCCTATTTATAGAATTAGATTTTTTTTGTGTTGATATTATCTCATTAAATTAGGTAGGTAACTCGTTATAAAATAAAACATAATGTTAAGCGTCACTTTATCCCGGCCGAGTTTGCAAGCTACGTGTAATGTTGTCTACCGCGGTTCCGGGTTAGAGTAAGAGTAGGAACAGTGTAGATTTTTAGTCAATAAGAGTCTAACAATCCCTTTCGTCCCATCTGTCACGGATTACGGAACTGGGGTGTGATTCTGTAAGACTTCATTCTAAACTTCGAATCTGAATCCGCTGTAAGAAGTAGTACGCTAGCGCTACACTTGCGAGTTGAACTAAATTGACAGCAACATTTTGATAGATAAAGTATGAGATGACGTTAAAAGTGGAATTCTAAAATTTAATTACCCCGTCACTTCGACGCACTTCGCACTCGAACAAGATTCAAAATCAAAAAAATTTTATAGAATCGACGTGCTGTAAAGTAAAATATGATCTTTAATGAAAACAAAACGTTATAACAATGCACTGTTGGGGACAGCTATTGTCATTAGACCCACTTAAGGTCTAATTAAATGTCAAATCAATGTTATTTTTCCGAATAAGATCTATTATTCTATTTTCTCTCAGTAAATGTTATTAATTGCTGCCTAAGACCAATCTTAAAAGCTTACTTTACTAAAACAACACGGAATACTTGTTTTTGATATAAACCACCTGAAAATGTAAAAGCTTTGTATTATAACTAGCTTCCGCCTGTAGCTTCACCCACATGGTATGCTGATAAAAAACAGGCTATGTGTTAGTTGAGGCTATCCCCTATCTGCATACAAATTTCAACCAAATCACTCCTCATGGCTGAGTGGAAGCAGCGACTGTCGCAACCGAGGGCCGGGCACGCTACTATAGCAGCGGTAAGACCCCTCTTTGAGGAGTGGCTTGAGAGATGCCGCGGCGTCCTCACCTTCCGCCTGACGCAGGTGCTTACCGGGCACGGCAGCTTCGGTAGGTTCCTGTTTCGGATCCAGCGGGAGGAAACGCCCGAGTGTCGTCATTGTGAGGACCACCTAGAGGATACGGTGGAGCATACGGTAGCGGTATGCCCTGCCTGGGCTGAGCACCACCGTATCCTCTGGGAAGTGATCGGCGGCGGCGACCTCTCGCGCCCGGCCTTAGTCGAGGCCATGGTGCAAAGTGAGAGGAACTGGGACTCCATCTCCTCATTTTGTGAAGCAGTCATGCTCGCAAAGAGGGAGGCGGCCCGCGTTACGGAGCAATCTTCCTCCTCACGCCCCAGCAGCCGCAACTGGCGACACTACGGGCGTTGGGGATCGAGGGACGATCTCCGGCCACCGTAAGCACGGGTCTGCGGTCGGCGAGTAAGGGCGGCTCGCCGCCCGACCAGAACCAGGCCCGAGCGTACGGCGCGTAGCGTTCCGCGCGCGCCTCAAAGAGCCAAATAGACCACCACAGACGGGGCCCTAAAGAGCTGATGTGCAGCCGGGGTGGCGGGGTGAGCGCAATGAGGCACCGTGACCTCGGCCCAGAGCAGGAGAAAGAACAGGGGGGTTTTTAGTCAGTAAGAGTCTGACACTCCCTCCCGCCCGGCCCTGGGCGGGAGAAGTCATTTGATGATTTTCCCCTCACAAAAAAAACCAAATCACTCCAGCGGTTTTTGCGTAAAAAAATAACAAACATACATCCATACAATCTCAGAAGCTTTCACATTTATAATATTTAAAGAATAAGATATAAAATAGATTTATATCAATGAAAATAAAATAGAATTCTATAAGTACTCAAAACAATTATTTTATGGAAAGTACGGTTGCCGTAGTGGCTAGGTAACTAGATACTATGCAACGTGTCGCGGGTTCGATTCCCAACGCTGTGTGATCCAAAGATAGTTTTAATATGATTGTTAATGCAGCCACGGTTCTCTCACATTATGCTATTTTTAAATTGTCTGGACTTGAAAAGAGTCTAACCTCTGAGTTTGTTTCTTCTCAGAGTAGTCAGATAGGAAATGCCGGCTTCATCTAGTTTTTCACATATAAATTGACGTGTAAAAGTGCCGTTTTATGGCCTATTTGCAAAAATAAATTCATTGTTTCATTGTTTCACGACATAGGAGTAAATCCTAATGTGGGGCAACGCGTCTAAAAGAAAAAATATTTTTTTTTCGGGGTATTTATTCTTTGAAGGCCTTCTTAAGGTCTGATCAAATGGTTAATTGTTTCTTTCACAAAGAAATGCTAGTAAAAGAGAAAGGAGGCCGGCAAATTATTGTCTTGCCTCCATGGGCCGATAACACGTCAGGATTTTGATTGATTACAATTAATATCATTGTATTCCACGTGTAATGAAAAGATAACAAATCAATCTAGATTAGACACCTATTTTCAAATCGTCATTACTTCCAAGATCATTAGTTGACGATTTGCTTTTTATTTTTGTATAGGGAAAAATCAACCACTGACATCTCTCGCCTTATGTCAGACTCTTGCTGACTAAAAACCACCTCGGTCCTTCTTCTGCTCTGAAGGACGTATATCACTTATCGCACTTGCACTTACATGCATTGATTGATTGCAAGATGGATAAAATTTTCTTTATTGTCAGTTTTATAAATCAGCTTATAACCAGCCGAGGTTGCGGGGCAAGTGCAATAAGACAGCAGAAAAAGGATCGGAGTGTTTTTTGACACGCCCTCTCACACCACCCTGGGCGAAAGAAGCCATTTGAAAGAAGAAAGAAGAAAGAAAGAAAGAAAAACCATTTATTTCACACACAAATGACGCAACAAACAAACACACACGAATATAGCTAAATAGGGACAAAACAAATTATGAACATAAAAAAAAGAAAAGCACTGCAATTGCGTCACTTATGCGTGAACAAGGGCAGCGCTCAGCATAAATGCTGTGTCTCGCGCACGCAGGCACGAAACAACAGCGCTGGTTTTCAGCGCTGACCCTTTATTTGATGAGTTTCCCCTCATGAAAAAGTCCTATCATCATCCCTTTTTCAGTTTTACATAAGTTTGTAATTAGAGCCTACTTTTAAGCAAGTATTATGACTGTATTAGGACACGAAAAAAAACTTAAATTTAGATTGAACAGCATGCTTAACTACTTAATGATTAAAATTGCTTCGAAGGCTAAAAAATATTGGCTATTAAAAGTATTGAGGTAGGTAGGTTACTTCTAGGTAACCGCGCCCCATCGTCGACCGCATCGTCACTTTCCATCAGGCAAGATAGTGGTCAAGCGCGAACCTATAATCAATAAAAAAAAACAGCTGAATTACACACGTTCGTAATGTAGAATTGAGGGCCGTAATGAAGTAAACTAAACTTATACTACTACTAGTATAATTAAACCTATACTTTATTATGTCATATGTGGCTTATCTGTAAGAAATTGTGACACTAGATTAAGTAATAATCCACAAAATTTTCCTGTAATTGCATGAGCGTTCATATTTTTTGTTGATAAGTCAATAAAAAAAAATTATTAAATCAAAAAAATAATCTTTTCTAATCAAACTACTGATTGATTGTTGGGAATTACTATTCCCAATGTCACACCTGGTATTGTGGAAGCAGTAATATAGAATAATGATGCATTTAGGTATGTTTAGTGGTTGATAAGATTTTCGAATATGAACTCTAATCAATTGAGTTTGTTTAACAAAAAGAATTGTCCTAAGTAAAAGCAAGGACAAGGATGCTCACTTTTACCATTTTATATAAGCTTCTACCAGGATCAGAAATAGTATCTACAATGATTATAATCAAAATTTAATTTCATTTAGATCCGTTCCTTAGCTTTTACGACATACCTATAAACTTTCTCGTCAATTTTATTTGTAGGATATATTTTATCAATATAACTTTGAATTCAATAAATGCAACCAATAGCTCGTGATTTTTCATTTAAATTGCTGTTGTTGTTTCACGACGTTTTCTTAGAGGCCGTGGTATAACTCCGATCGAGCCAACCCATTCGTGCTGAAGCATGGCTCTCCCACACTTTGCATTACTTTTGTAAAACAAAATTTTCTTTTGTAGTTGAAATATAAAATAGCCAAACCATCATCAAAGAAATATATCAAAATAAAAGGAAAACACAAGAAATAATTTAAACCAGACACAAACGTAGAAAGATAGAATTAGGTATCATCAGATTATCCTATCTATATGTGATAAACAATTTTTATAAAAACCCCACCGGGTGGCAATAAGCCAACACAATACAATGAAGTCCATCGTTGCTATAACGGCACTCGTAGCATGTAAGTACCGTACATTTATTGGTTTTACCTATAAACAGAATTAGGTTTTTTGTAATGAGTAGGCTCTCCACTATCTTGCCTGGTGGTATGCGATGTTACGATCTGCAATGGAACACGCCTACAAGCGACCTATTCATTCGGACCTTGAAGACACCCAGGTCATAATCACCACGAAGCAGTGACGTTTTGCTGATTTTCTGGTATACCACCTTTGCATGGTAGAACGGGTAAGGAGGAATCAAATTATGCAGTTATTCGAAAAGATCTTTGCGCCTGTATGCAAGGTTTTGGAGTCGGGACTCCATACGCGCATCGTCGTCGATATACCTTTTCCCAGGCGTCCCAAAACTAAGAGCGATACACAATACATGCTCAACATCCTACCAGCCAGTTGCTTCTTAGCACAACATATTATATGAACATAAAGACGTCATTAATGTGCAGCAACTAGGGGCTTCCTGAACCTTGAGGAACCCCGGCGTTAATACCAAATTGGTCAGCTATTGCTAGTGACTAGAATGACCCATCCCTCAGCAAGTCTGCTAGCCGCAGCAGCTAGCAGTCTAGGTCTTAGTTTATTTTGTCTGATGTGTAAACACTGATGAGTAAATAAGGAAAAGTAAAATTGCTACTTGCCAGGTTTTGATCTCGTGTTCTCAAGCTTCGGAATTCATCATACCTGTATGTAAAGGCCCAATTATAATTAAAACACAATATGGTTTCCTTGTATGGGAAACAAAAATAAGTGGACTTTTAAGCTACCATTTTGCTACTATTTACTTTTTTGGCAGAACTTTCATATAACTTACTTTACTATAACTGCCAATTGCTGAGCAAAGATGAATAAAGCGTTAGTTACTATACTTAATCAAGGCAGATGAGCAATTCCAATCTTTTAAGTTGCCGTTTTTTAAGTCCATGATACTGTTTTACATTCGTTCAACAAGTTTATAGAAGACCGTAATTCATAGTGTTTCTTATATACATATTGGCATGCTACGACTTTCTCGAATATATGTAAAAAAAGAAAAAAATCTGATGTACTTCGACTTATGTTATTGGTGTTACTAATAGTTCATTTTTTTACAGTGTGCTCTGGGCATATCCTTCGTGATATCCCAGTAGATAACAGTCACTACGTGGAGGGAGTGAGCCGCTACGTATGGATGCCTGATGCTGAAGGAAACCCCGTACTGGTTGACCTTGATGAGCCAGTAAATGAAGAAGTGCTGGAAGCAACCAGGAATGGAGCTAACAACCAGTACTGGTTATTCACTCGGTTAGTAATGTATCATGTCTAAATAGATTTACAGAAACTTTGCTGTATTTTATATGTGTAAAAAATAATAATTTGAAGAAAAAATTACTTACGTTTAAATGATATTAATTAGACGTTTGTATATTTCAGGAATAACCGCGCCAATGCTCAAGTTATAATCCATAATAATGTTAACTCCATTCGTAACTCTAACTACAATGGCAACCGACCCTTAAAAGTTATCGTCCACGGATGGAATAACAATGGGAACACCGAAATGAATCCTCTCATCACACGGGCCTTCCTTGACGTCATGGATTGTAATGTTATTGTAGTCGATTGGAATGTTGCCGCCAACTCAGCCTACAGCACAGCTGTTAATGCAGTCCCCAGTGTGGGACAACACCTCGGGGACTTCCTCAACTGGCTGATTAGAAATGGTGGCGGTAATTGGAACCAAGTTCATTTAGTTGGGTTCAGCCTTGGTGCTCACGTCGTCGGCAATGCTGGACGTCGAGTCGGAAATCAACCAGCACGTATAACCGGTAAGAAACACATTTATTTACAACTAAGTTATTACTGATTTGTTTCATAAATTTACAATCTGTATATTTTTTTTTTCATTTCTGTTCAGGTTTGGATCCTGCCGGCTACCGTTGGCATAATAACGCAAACAGATTAACTTCTAGTAATGGCCGATACGTAGAAGCTATTCACACAGACGGTCACAGCCTTGGTATAATGAATCCCAGCGGACACGCCGACTTCTACCCTAACGGTGGTAAAAACCCTCAGCCTGGTTGTTGGACTAGTCTGTGTTCTCATGGTCGTGCCACGGAGCTATTCGCCGCCACTGTCCGTCACAACCATTTGGTAGGCAGACAGTGTCCCAACATCTGGGAGGCTGAACTCGGAACATGTAATGGAGCATCCTTTCACATGGGTAACGCAAACTTGAATAAGCGTGGGTAAGTATCTCATCCATATGTTTAAGAAAGAACTGTTCTTAAAAGAGTATCTTATAGCATTGACAAGCTATCACACGGATCACTTGATGGTAAGCAATCAATACCCACCCGCAATTTTGAAGGAGTTACAAGTGTGATGGAAGCTTTTGGGAGGGTTGGGTCCAGCCAAATTTAAATAAAACTCCATCTATTTCCCACAAGTCATGATTTATAGGTAGCCGAAAATTGGATTCAGAATAATGCAAGCGCGCATTTCGTTAAATCTTCGCGAGCCTTAAATCCCGTAGAGGTTATGAGAGAAGCTAATACTAAGTGTCGCGTTAGTCAGGAAGTTCAATCCTTAAACAAAAGGGGACTTTTCTGCATGAGGGGGCTGGTTTAAAACCTTGGAAGTACTTGTGTGACCTTTTCCAAGTAATATGTACTTTCTAGGTTTATCTGAGTATTATGTAACAAGTAGAAAGTGACCATACGTAGGTCATAATTTGAAACTTCTTTATTACTCCGAATTCTAATAATCGAATATAGGTAATTTACTTAGTTCAGAAGTTGAAAGTTGAAGGAGGCAGTTCTTCTTCAATTACTACTAATTTATTTTAAGTATTATGCTATATAACAAAATTTTATTTCCAGGAATGGTCTTTACGCTCTGAGAACCGGATCAAGTGCTCCTTTTTAAACTAAGAATTTTACTTATGCAAGACTAAAATTAATGTCAACAAGGCTGTTTTCAATAAAAATAATTAATGAAAGAATGATTTTCGTTTGATTACAAAAAAAAAATGTATTGTGATTGTGACAGAGTTGCATTATTTTCAAACTAAAACCGCATTGTTCTGTCTAATCTTTTGGTAGCCAAAAGCTGCCGTACGCTCGAGTCTGATTCTGGTCGGAGCGGAGGTAAAGGTCCCAAAATTTCCCTAGCCCCTGGCTAAGTGTACTTTGTCTCCCGACTATACATAGTCTGGCCATAAATACTGTTACAATTAAAAATAAACAAAATATTACATTTGAATTTGGAATCTGTCATTTTTATATAATTTTTCATTGTGTTTTCTTATTTTGGCGCCAATAAATTGTTCAATATTTTGCGATATTAAAATGGAGTGGGGTGATAAAGAGAACCGAATCGCTGTGATTGCATTACACAAAGTGGGTATGGAGCCAAATGCAATTTTTAAAACTCTCCACACGCTTGGCATTAGTCAAATGTTTGTGTACCGGGCTATTAATAGGTACAATAAGAGCTCCTCTGTTTGCGACAGAAAAAGATCTGGCCGTCCACGTAGTGTTCGTAAGAAAAAGGTGGTCAAAGCAGTAAGGGAAAGAATTCGAAGAAATCCTGTCCGAAAGCAAAAGATTTTATTTCGGGAGATGAAGATAGCACCTAGAACCATGTCGCGTATTTTAAAAGACGACTTAGAACTTGCAGCCTATACGAGACGCACTGGACATTTTTTAAATATAATTTAAAAAAGAATAGGGTGATAAAATCTAAACAACTACTGAAGCGATGAAATTTTTTTTACAATTGAGCAACATTTAAACAAACACAATGGCCGTATTTATGCTCAAAGCTCTAAGGAAGCTTCTCAATTAGTCGACAGAGTGCAACTCGAAACGACTTCAGTGATGGTTTGGTGGGGTGTTAACTATGAAGGAGTGACTGAGCCATACTTTTGCGAAATAGGTATCAAAACATCGGCACAAGTGTATCAAAATACGATTCTTGAGAAGTTAGTTAAGCCCCTTAACAACACCATGTTCAATAACCAACAATGATCCTTCCAGCAAGACTCGGCGCCGGGTCATAAAGCTCGGTCCACGCAGTCTTGGTTGGAAACGAACGTTTCCGACTTCATCAGAGCTGAAGACTGGCCGTCGTCTAGTCCCGATCTTAATCCGCTGGATTATGATTTATGGTCAGTTTTAGAGCGTAGGGCTTGCTCTAAACGTCATGATAATTTGGACTCCCTAAAACAATCCATACGATTGGCAGTGAAGAATTTTCCCATGGAAAGAGTGTGTGCATATTGATAACTGGCCTCAACGTTTAAAGGACTGTATTGCAGCCAATGGAGACCACTTCGAATAAGCTTTTTATGTTTTAAATTGTTTTATATTTATGTATTAAACTACTGCTTTAACATACTGTAAAAGTAATAAATGTTATTTGCAATAGAAAAAATATATTTTTTATTTGTTACAGTAATTATGGCTAGATAGGTATTTGAAACTACATCTCGAAACTTAAGTATCAATTAAGTATCAATAGGCTGATGATCAGACACATGCAGTATAAAAAAAACTACATAATAGTACATATACTATTTACAATAAAAGTCAATTTTGTATGTTGGAAGTGACTGTTTAGTTTAGGTGCAGTTAGTGAAAGTGAAAATGCAAAGTGAAACATAGCATAATATTTAAAGAAACTCAAAATTGGTTCTCAAGACTGTTGCAAACTTGTAATAAGACATAAAGAATGCGAAAAACATCCGTGTTTTACAAGGAACATTCTTTCGTATACACGATACAATATCTAAAAATAAGGATAATTTGATATTAATGATTTATGAATTAAATTTTTATCTTTAATTCAAAAAACGTAGATGTTTCAAAGATTGATTATCAATTTATTTTTGATGGTAGATATAATTAATTATGTTAAGGCAAATGATGAACAGATATCATTGGGTAATTTCCAAAGGGATTGGGATGTAAGGGGGCGAACTTCCATCTTTCGCCCCAAGCCAACCTCACCTGCACGCGGTGCATCCTGCTGGTCAACGAACGAGGCTCTGGCGACCGACCGACGGCGGTATATCCGTCCCTTACAAACAGGCGAAATTAAGTACCGCAGGCCGGTGACGGGCAGCAGCGTTACCGGTGCGAAAAGTTTCGCCCTGCGATCGCCAACCCGCCTGCCCAGCGTGGCGATTATGGGCAATACCTCCTATGGGCAAAAAACGAAGGCCACGGCCCCCAGTTCCCGGCAGCCCCACTATTCCTGGTCATGGTGGCGACCATGGTAACGGTGGGGTAGGGGGTGCTAAGAATCTCCGGGCTACGGGAGGCCACCACAACAGACTGACCCTGGCGACGTACAACGGACGCACGCTACGGCTTGACTCGCATCTAGCGCAACTAGAGGTGGAACTTGGGAAGATCAGGTGGCACATACTAGGGTTATGTGAAGTCCGAAGAGAGGGGGAGGACACGATAACTCTCAAATCAGGCCACCTGATGTACTTCCGTGAGGGAGACCAAAAATCCCAAGGTGGCGTTGGGTTTCTGGTTAACAAGTCCCTATCTAACAATGTTGTGGAAATGTCGAGTGTGTCGAACAGGGTGGCGTACCTCATTATAAAGCTCACCGAGAGGTATAGCCTTAAGGTGGTCCAAGTGTACGCACCGACCTCGGCACACTCCGATGATGAGGTGGAGGAGATGTTCGATGATATATCGAGGGCCCTCCACTCCACCACTAGGACTCACTTCAACATTGTTATGGGGGACTTTAACGCCAAAGTGGGAGTACAAAATTGCAGTGAATCGGTAGTAGGATCCCATGGGTATGGAAACAGGAATCATAGGGGGCAAATGCTCGTCAATTTCCTCGAACGGGAGGGGATGTTCTTAATGAATTCATTCTTTAAGAAGCAGCCCCAAAGGAAGTGGACGTGGCAAAGCCCCGACACTATGACAAAGAACGAGATCGACTTCATCATGGCGGACAAAAGGCACATATTCAGAGACGTCTCCGTGATTAATAGGTTTAATACCGGTAGCGATCACCGACTCGTCCGAGGCTCTCTGAATATCGACTTCAGAGCCGAACGAGTCCGCTTGATGAAGGCCAGGCTCCGACCAACCCTGTTTCAAATCAAAATGGGATCTGAAGCGTTTCAGTTAAACCTGGAGAACCGATTTGCTGCCCTGGAAACCACAACCGACGTTGACCGGAACCTTGAAAACGTGGTTCGAGTTCTCAGGGAAGAAGGTACGAGATTTTGTGAAATGCAGCGTAAGGGCAAGAAGTCGAAGCTTTCGGAAGAGACTTTAGGGCTTATGAAGAGACGACGTGAAAACCCACCCGTCACTTCGTCAGAGAAGCGGGCTCTAAACCGAGAGATTAGCAAACACGTGCGACACGATCTCCGGTGCTCGAATACCCTTGCAATCGAGAGAGCGATCGAGCAAAACCGGGGGCCAAAAGTGTTCGTACAATCTCTTGGAAGAAGCCACCTGACGAAGTTGACCACAGCAAGTGGAGAAGTCGTTGTCTCGAAGCCGGCAGTTCTTTCGGAAGTAGAAAACTTCTACGGCCGGTTATACGCTTCGCATGCATCTCGACCTGACCCCGGAAATGAGGACTCTAGAGCCACTTTAATACGCCATTACACCGAAGACCTGCCAGAAGTCAGCATTGACGAAATCGAGATCGCTCTTGGACAGCTTAAAAATGGAAAAGCCCCTGGAGAGGATGGCGTTACGACAGAGCTTCTAAAAGCAGGCAGCAAACCGGTACTCAGGGAGCTGCAAAAGCTATTTAACGCTGTCCTGTTTGAAGGGAGAACTCCAGAGGCGTGGAGTCGGAGTGTGGTCGTCTTATTCTTCAAAAAGGGTGACAAAACCCTACTGAAGAATTATCGACCCATTTCCCTTTTAAGCCACGTCTATAAGCTGTTCTCGAGAGTGATCACGAACCGCCTTGCGCGAAGACTTGACGAATTCCAACCACCGGAGCAGGCTGGGTTTCGGAGCGGATACGGCACCATAGACCACATCCACACAGTGCGGCAGATTATACAGAAGACTGAGGAGTATAATCAGCCCCTGTGCCTAGCATTTGTGGACTATGAGAAAGCCTTTGACTCGGTCGAAATCTGGGCTGTTCTGGAGTCCCTGCAGCGATGCCAAGTAGATTGGCGATACATCCAAGTGATGAGATGTCTCTACGAGGCCGCCACCATGTCCGTCCAAGTACAGGATCAGCAAACAAGGCCGATACCGTTGCATCGAGGTGTGAGACAAGGGGATGTTATCTCCCCGAAATTGTTCACAAATGCAATGGAGGATATGTTCAAGACGCTGAACTGGAAAGGACGCGGCATCAACATAAATGGCGAGTACATCTCTCACTTGCGATTTGCAGACGACATCGTCATCGTAGCAGAAACGCTGCAGGACCTACAACGGATGCTGAATGACCTGGCTGACTCTTCTATACGCATCGGCCTACGGATGAACTTGGATAAAACCAAGGTCATGTTCAATGAACATGTACTACCGGAACCGATTGCAGTACACGGCGCTGTTCTCGAAGTCGTTCAAAAATATGTATACCTCGGGCAGACATTGCAGATGGGTAGAAACAACTTCGAGAACGAGGTGAATAGAAGAATTCAGCTAGGTTGGGCAGCATATGGAAAGCTGCGTCAAGTCTTCACGTCGTCGATCCCACAGTGCCTAAAGACGAAAGTCTTCAATCAGTGCGTCCTACCTGTCATGACATACGGAGCCGAAACGTGGACACTGACGGTGCGGCTGGTTCACAAGCTAAAAGTCACTCAGCGAGCTATGGAGAGGGCTATGCTCGGCGTTTCTCTGCGAGATCGAATCAGAAACGAGGTGATCCGGCAGAGAACCAAGGTAATCGACATAGCCCACCGGATTAGCAAGCTGAAATGGCAGTGGGCTGGCCATATTAGCCGAAGAACCGATGACCGTTGGAGTAGACGAGTTCTTGAGTGGAGACCGCGTCTCGGCAAACGTAATGTAGGACGTCCTCAGGCAAGGTGGAGTGATGATTTGCGCAAGATGGCTGGCAGGAGCTGGATGCGAGTGGCCGAAGATCGATCCCAGTGGCGTGCAATAGGAGAGGCCTATGTCCAGCAGTGGACTGAAAAGGGCTGATGATGATGATGATGATGATGATGAATTTCCAAAGTCAAAAATAAATTATTATTTCGACTTTTTCATAAAATAAAGTGCTACCTCTTTCATTGATGCAAGAACAAACTTGATGACATCACAACTTGGTATGTTTGTTACTCAATCACGCCAAAACCGATGGACGGATGTGGATGAAATCTGGCACAGGCATAAGATACACTTTGGAATAGGACAAAGGCTACTTTTTATCAACATACCACGCGGGCGAAGCCGCGGGCGAAAGCTAGTTTTATATAAAATTTATAAAAGTCATTTTATTTTTTATTTTCGACTAACTTCTTAACTATATCAGATTTCATTATATTCATGCAGTAGGAACTCAGTCCGGCTTTGCATGTACTCAGTCTCTAGTCTAAGCTCTTCTGCATCGAATTAATCACACAATAGCTAAAGAGTTTGTTAATTTCCGTAAAAGCGCATTCAAATTTAACAATAATGTTAGTCAATTTATCGTGACTAAGTTCAATAATATTTTTTTATGTAATAGACCGGCAAACGAGCATACGGATTACCTGATGGTAAGCAATCAGCGCGGCCCATGGACACCCGCAACCTGGACCTTTTAGGGATTAGGGATTTGGAGATTTAGGGATTGAAGAGGGATTGGGGGAAGGGAATGATTGGGCCTCCGGTAACCTCACTCACACGGCGAAACACAACGCTGTGGTTGTTTCGCGCTGGTTTTCTGTGAGGCCGTGGTATCACTCCGGTCGAGCCGACCCATTCTTGTCGAAGCATGGCTCTTCCACACTTATAATATCAATAAACTAGAGGAACAGCATGTCTCATCTGACCATTCTGAAAAGAAATGCCCAAGCAGCTGAGCTCCGAAATTAACCTTTCTCATAATTGTTTTTTTTTAGTTGTAATTCTCCCATGTTCGTTGAATTTTACCTTTTGGTTGATATTTATTATAGGTAATTGTCTAAGTATTGCACATGGACTGCAATGATAACAAATCATTCTAGATTAAATATCTTTAATTTTTTTATTACTTTAAAGACTCATGGCTGAAAATTTTTAATTTATTTCTTGATGGGGAAAAATTATCAAATGGCTTCCGCTCTGGGTGGGGCGAGAGGGACATGCCATGTCCCGTTCCTTCACCTGTTTTGAGTCGGAGCCGCTGAGTACATTATTGATTGCTTTACTGCGTTTACCCATAACCGTGGCTAATGAAATGATGACATTACAATGTCTTAATGTAATCAACTTAAACTGAAACATTAAGTTACTAGTTACGTATATAATAAACTCGTGTCAAGGATGGAGACCTTTTTGAAGTGTCCATCTTTTAGGTTTTTAAGGAATAAGTGGCAAACGAGCTTGCGGATCACCTGATGCTATCATCATCATCGCCACGCATGGTATTCCTGCCTCACCAAAGGAGTTACTGGAACGTTACCCGCATTGGCAGCCCGGCCTTTTAGGATGGAGTACGCTCGTTTTTTGAACATTTAAAGATCGTATCTGTTCGGGCTGGTCATATGATGTTTCGGTATCATTCAGAAAGTGGATCAGTTTAAAACATATTTTTCTTATCATACAAAATTTTTAAACGTCGAACAAATATTTAAATATTGATAATGCCAGTTTCTCGGTCAGTCCTCATAGTGAAGCTATTTTCTTGCCCCAAACTTGCGACAAAAAGAGAGTAACCATGGACTTGAATGATCACTCTTTTTCAAACAGTTTCACAATCAGATTCTTTGATACATTATTAAATTGGTTTTATTGTGTGAGAGCAGTGTAACACAAATCCCAACTGTACCAGTAGTATGTTTGTCTACAAAAAGTTTTCTTTGTAGGCACATAATTTAAAATTTATTTCTTTTAATTGTTGTGATTTTTGATGATTTACATCGTCATGTTTTGTTTGTTTATCATTTATTTTAATTATATGAACGATGATAAGCAAATTATATCAACCCGGTTCATGATGCAATAAATGGTGTAATACATTTAATCTAGACCAAAAAGAGGAAAGGGCCCAATATTGAGCCCTGTGGTATTCCCACTGATATGTTAGAACCCTGGGAGATTACTTTTTTATTTTTACTTAGGGCTGCCTATCCTGAAGGTATGGTTTTAATAAACTGAGATATACCAAAAGAATTCCGTAGTGTTCCAATTTTAGTTATAGTGTCTTGCGCTTAATGGAATCTGAAGCCTTCGACAGTTAACAAATTGTTCCAATAGCATCCTGTGATTTTTCCCATGAAGTGAAAACTTGCTTGCTTTTCTAATAATGTATGATAATGATGCGTTAAGGTAAGTATGATTAACTAATAATAAGATTTTCGATAAGAGCACTAATCAATATAAATTAATTAACAAATAAAAATATTTTAAGTGAATGCAACAAGAATACTTATCTACACTACTTTAAACTAGGTTCTCCTAGCGGCTTCGCCCAAAGTACCAGGGAAATAAATAGCCTAAGTATGTGGTATTTCAAACTTTAATCTGTCTCCTGAGTGCTTTATTTCAATGAGTTTTGTTTCACAACTTTTACAAAAAAAAAAACATCAAACTTCCATCCATTCATACTCACAAACTGTCGCGTTTACTTTATCAGTAGGATATTTTGTATAAATAGAATTTGGTTTACCTCGCAAGCTGCTTTAATGTAAAACACAACATTTATAAAACAAACTTACCACGTGTCAATTCGTCCTGTTATAAAAAAGCAATAGATAATTTTAAAAGACCAGACACAAACGTAGATATTAATTAGGTATCATCAGATTATCCTATCTATATATGATAAACAATTTTTATAAAAACCCCACCGGGTGGCAATAAGCCAACACAATACAATGAAGTCCATCGTTGCTATAACGGCACTCGTTGCATGTAAGTACCGTAAACTCATTGGTTATAATAGTCTGCCCATGCGGCAAACGTAGCAAATCATAAAAAAATACAATCTGAGAAAGCAGACAACTTAAAAATTAACACTGACGCTTGGAGCTTTCGCACCCGGATCCTCGTGCATAACTTTCGGGTCACGGCGATATTAAGACAGGAGTTTACCGCGAAATAATTGCAGTTTTTAAAGTAATAAATACTGGTTTATATGTATTCAATGAATTCATAAAAACTGTGATTCATATTTTTTAATATACCCACGGACAAACCATAAGATTGTGGAACAATAAATCTTTTATATAAATATTGCTGTGAATTTTCTGTAGGTTACACCACTTACGTCGAAATATCGTTTTCGACTTTTAAAAGTGTATGTGGTGTAACTATTTTACTTTTTTGCAGTATGCTCGGGTCATACCATTCGTGATATCCCGGTAGACAATAGTCACTACGTGGAGGGAGTGAGCCGCTACATGTGGATGCCTCCCACACTTAACTACTATTGACTTTCTTGACAGAACTTCATATACTTAACTTACTATAGTATATGTAACTGCTAACTGCTGAGCAAAGATGAGTGAGCATTAGTCACCATACTTAATCAAGGCAGATGAGCAATTCCAATCTTTTGTTCAAGTTGCCATTTTTTAGGTCCATGATACTGTTTTACATTCGTATGCTAAATTGGTATAGTCAAAGTACATCATATTGTATAATGGTTTACAATCTGATGTACTTCGACTTATGTTATTGGTGTTACTAATAGTTCATTTTTTTACAGTATGCTCTGGGCATATCCTTCGTGATATCCCATTAGACAACAGTCACTACGTGGAGGGAGAAAGCCGCTACGTATGGATGCCTGATGCTGAAGGAAACCCCGTACTGGTTGACCTTGATGAGCCAGTAAATGAAGAAGTGCTGGAAGCCACCAGGAATGGAGCTAACAACCAATATTGGCTTTTCACTCGGTTAGTAATGTACCGTGTCTCAATAGATTTGACACCAAAATTGTTATGTTTTATATGTATCCAAAATAGTTCCTTAAAGAAAAAAGTACTTACTTTTTAATGACGTTAATTGTTTGCGTATTTTAGGAATAACCGCGCCAATGCTCAAGTTATAACCCACAATAATGTCAACTCTATTCGGAACTCTAACTACAATGGCAACCGACCCTTGAAAGTTATCGTCCACGGATTGAATAACAACGGCAACACCGAAATGAATCCTCTCATCACACGGGCCTTCCTTGACGTCATGGATTGTAATGTTATTGTAGTCGATTGGAGGGCTGCCGCTAACTCAGGCTACAACACAGCTTTTAATGCAGTCCCCAGTGTAGGACAACACATCGGAGACTTCCTCAACTGGCTAATTAGAAATGGTGGCGGTAATTGGAATCAAGTGCATCTAGTTGGGTTCAGTCTCGGTGCTCATGCTGTCGGCATCGCTGGACGTAGAGTTGGAAATCAACCAGCCCGTATTACAGGTAGAAAATATAGTTATTTGTAACATATTATTACTAAGATATATCAATTTCAGACCTATAAAATTATTTGTCATTTGTGTGCAGGTTTAGATCCAGCCAGCGTTGGATGGCATAATAACGCAAACAGATTAACTTCTGCTAATGGCCGTTACGTAGAAGCTATTCACACAGACGGTCACGGTTTTGGTATAATGAATCCCAGCGGACACGCCGACTTCTACCCTAACGGTGGTAAAAACCCTCAGCCTGGTTGTTGGACTAGTTTCTGCTCTCATGGTCGTGCCACGGAGCTATTCGCCGCCACTGTCCGTCACAACCATTTGGTAGGCAAACAGTGTCCAAACATCTGGGAGGCTGAACTCGGAACATGCAATGGAGCAACCTTACACATGGGTAACGCAAACTTAAACAAGCGTGGGTAAGTCCTGTTCCTATTTTATCTTATTTTATCTTTATAGCATTGGCAAGCTAGCACACGGATCACCTGATGGTATCAGTATCACTGGACACTTAATTAAAATAAAACTTCCAGTAAAGTCTACAATGGATTTACTATAACAGTGTGATCACACGTACAGTGTGCTCGCCCACTAATTGTTTGCGGTTGAAATTCGTATTTAGAAAATGCAATGCGTATTTTGAAAGCGCTCAATTCATAAAATGCTCGCGAGTTTCAAATCAGGTAGAGGTTATTGTTCTCCGATATCCGCGAATTGCGCGCAAAAATTAACTGGTGTGGTCAAGATACGCATTCTCATGCAAGAGAAACGTCTCCTGCAGGAAGAGGTATTTTTAAAGCCTGGAAAAAACCTACGAATGTGACCTTTCCCAAGTAATATGTACTTTCTAAGGTTATGTGAATGTTGCATTCTCTTTCCACTATTAATTTGAGGAATCCTGTGTAATGAGAAGAGGGTGGGTGGCCATGCAATTATATGTATATACATATAATTTCAAACTTGCTATTACTCAGAATTCTAAAAATCGAATGTATTTAATTTGTTACTTTTAATTTTTCTTCTCCTAAAATAAAATCTTCCGGTTTATTTCCTTGCGGTAATGTCCCTGGGGAGCTCCGGATGACATTGTTACGGTGTTTTATCCACTATAGTTCAAGACTTACAGGAGTTACAGCGGCTTTGGCAGGTTAGGGCAGTAAAAAAGTAAATAAAAACCAATGGAACCAACGAGGCAGTTCTTATTATGTATCGTTTAGCTATATGTACAATACATAATAATTATGCTATATAACACACTTTTATTTTCAGGAATGGTCTTTACGCTCTGAGAACCAGATCAAGTGCTCCATTTTAAACTACGAATTCTACTTTTCCAAAACTAAAATGCGATAAGTAATCAATTATTATTTAAATTGTTTTATTTTATGCATTTGTTTATTTTGGTTCTATGTGTCCTAGACGCTAATAAATACTTCTGTTCTGTTTTTTTAAAATTAAAGTAATGATGAAACGAAAGTTTTTTTTGTTTTTAAAATAGGTCCTGTGACTGTGACATAGAGTCCCTTTACATTCAGACTAAATATACATAGTTATGTCTAGTTTATCTCGTAGAAAATAATACAGGAAGTATAACCCTTTACTATACTGAATACCCTTTTCGAAGGCAATTTCTGAAGTGAGATCGTAATGGGTCCAATAAGAATAGCAAATCCCGTAACGATACCTAGTTTTCATTTTGATTTTGAAATGCCGGAGTAGGGAACAGATTAAAAAAGAAATAAGCTACAACTCTGATCACCTATTAAAAATTAAAACGCAGTCCTAGTTGTTCGAGTAATTAGCTATGACTTATTTAGTACTTTATAAAAACAATTAATCTTCAATATTTGTAAGTCTATAGTCAAATAAAAAATACCCTTTAAGTTGCCTACATTTAGAGTATACTAGCGATCTGCCCCGGCATCACAAGGGCTCAATGCTGGTACAAAATACAAATTTTCCTCTTCAATAACTCTACCTATAAAAACACCACATCAAAATCTGCGACATAGTTTTAAAGATTTATGCATACATAACGATGTAGGGACAGAGAAATCGACTTTGTTTTACACTATGTAGTGTTCATGCAATTTTGTTTCAATTTAATACCTACAAAAAATAACTGTCCTGTAAAAACCTATTTACCTTAAATAAATAGGTATAGAATTGTGTCAATAACAAATTTGAATGATTAATTATACCTAAACTGACTTGAATTAATCACTAACTAAAAAAGATAAAATAATCAAACAAAAATGATAAAAGTCGTATATATAGCCCCCTGTGGGGCTTAAAAAACGAAAAACCAACATGAAGTCATTCATCGTTATTGCGGCCATCGTAACTCGTAAGTACTTACACATTTTATTTTGTAATTGGGAGTTTCCTAGGTCAATAATAAAATAATTCGAAGTTTCAATACAATAGTATATTTAAAGACAATACACAAGATTTAAGTGTGGGACAGCTAAGTTTTGGCACGAATGTGTCGGCTCGACCAGAGATACTACGGCCTCATTGTGTTTCGCCGTGTGAGTGAGGTTACCGGAGGCCGAATAACTCCCAGTCCCCTATCCCTTCCCAATCCTTAAATATCCGCAAACCGTGACTCCTTTGGTGATCCATGGGCGACGCTGATTACTTGCATAATCCGTCTGCTCGTTTTCTGAATCATCTCATAAGAAAAAAAACCTTTATTCCGATGAATAAAGGTTTTTTTAATCGAATCGAAAAGTTTGCGTGTTGACAGACCGATGGTCTATTATATGATACTATGATGATCTATTATATTATATGATGATGTATATTTTTAGCTATTTTTCAAGTAATGAGTAAGATATTTTACGCAAAAATACACTGGCATTATAATTTGGAGCTTCTTAGAATTATTATTTTATTAATCATAGAAAACTATCGTATTTATATTTGGATAAAAGTATTGAATTTTACTAGTTGGAAACTACCGTATTGTTGATCGATGACAGGTAATAAAACAGTGAAGAATTACAAAGACTTGTCTAAAAACCAATTTTAATTTATAAGCTCACTCATTGATACTTATGTAAATGTTTCTTTAACTAGTAGAGCTTTTTCAGTTAATTTACTATAGTTAGATATTAGTAGCCCTAGTTACGAGCAGACTTTAATATATTAAGCTACTTCTCTGCTCCTCCCGAAGTGTAGTTTCCTATGGACAAAAACGAGAAATAAATTTCATGGTCACTCTTTCTCAATCAGTTTCAAAATTCTCTTCTTTGTCCAGTCCAAGTCGGTTACATTATGTGAGATTTATTCCATTTTCTTCTTTGTTCTGCGTAGCTTTTCTTTCTTGCTTATTTATAATGAGACCCACTCTCCTGCTATCCATCGTTGCCCACAACATTTTATAGTTTAATAATCTCCTTCACACAATATCTATATTACTTTCTTCTCCATCGAATGACATCACATTTTTAACACCATAATTTTAGGAAATCCTTAAAAATGAACCTTTTTCAAGTATGTTCCAGCAATCCTGTTCCAAATATTCCAAGAAACAACAGCCACTATGTAGAGGGAGTTACCCGATACGTGTGGATGCCTGATGCTGAAGGCAACTCCATATTAGTTGACCTTGAAGAGCCAGTCAACGAGGAACTACTAGAAGCTACTAGGAATGGAGCTAACAATCAATATTGGCTTTACACCAGGTAATTGGATATTAGTTGTACTTTCATTAAAAAAAAATAGTTGTTTTCGGATCATCTTTTATGTATACCTATTGGTTTCAGTCGTAATCCATCGAACCCACAAGTCATAGTTCATGGTAACGCCAACACAATTTGGAGCTCTAACTACAATGGTGCACGACCACTGAATGTTATCGTTCACGGATGGAACAATTACGGGGGTACTGAAATGAACCCATTCATCACCTCCGCCTTCTTAGCAGTCCAAGATTGCAACGTCATCGTTGTAGACTGGCGTGCCCTCGCTAACGGTCCATACACCACCGCCGTTGCTGGGGTGCCCAATGTAGGAGTACACCTCGGAAACTTTGTTACCTGGCTCATCAACACTGCCGGTGGTAACTGGAACCAGGTCCACTTTGTTGGATTCAGTTTAGGCGCTCACGTTGTCGGAAACGCTGGACGACAGACGGGCAATCGTCCTGCCCGTATCACGGGTAAGTGTTAATGTAGATTTTTTGGCATACCTTGGAAAGTAAACAAACCAAATATTAAAATGTCTTTCCTGATTTTTCTCAGGATTAGATCCTGCGGGCTATCTATGGCATTCTAACAGCAACAGGTTAAGCTCAAGCAACGGTCAATACGTGGAAGCAATCCATACCGATGGTAACTTCTTAGGCATTATGAACCCGAGTGGTAACGCTGACTTCTATCCTAACGGTGGAAAGCACTGGCAGCCAGGCTGCGAATTCAAAGGCAACGCATGTTCTCACGGTCGTGCGACGGAACTCTTCGCAGCCACTGTTCGTCACAACCATTTGATTGGAAGACAATGTCCTAACATTTGGGAAGCCGAGCTTGGCACTTGCAGTGGAGCCAGTTTGCACATGGGCAACAGCATTTTTACAAAACGAGGGTAAGTGGACATTTTGAAAAAAACAATAGAAGATATCTACATGTTATTTAAAAGAGATTCAACAGAAAGCTAAAAATACTTCGTGAAAATTTTATTAAACGAAATTTGGTCAACCATGTTTATGATAGATGCATAAATAAATAACCACTGTATAAAGATAGGTATATGTAGGCTTATTTCTTAGATGACAATGATAATGGTGGCATGGTTACCAAGTACGTTTATTGAAATTAAATTTAATATTTTTATAAAAAACTAGATTAATTAGAAACTTATGGCGTGAGTAAGCTGATAAACAACACAAATACAAAAATTACTTGATTTTTGCTTGATTTTAGCAACCGTTCAGATTTGATAATTTATAATGATTTAGGCGTTATTTATTCACGCACTTTATGAAAAACTATGCACATGATGCACGCGTGTTATGTTGATAAAAAGTAGCCGGGGTGTATCTTATGCCTGTGCCAAATTCCATCCACACCAGTCAAGTCGTTTTGGCGTCATTGAGTAACAAACATCCAAACATCGTAACTTTCGCATTTATAATATTAGTAAGATCTAGCGACCCGCCCCAACTCCGCGTGCAATATTAAATTTAATTTTTCAAATATTTGATGTATGTTATTATACATGTAAACCGTCCTTATCAATCACTCTTTCTATTAATTATCTATCTGTGGGAGAGCCACGACTGCCTTCGACACGAATGGGTCGGCTCGACCGGAGTGATACAACCACAACGTTATGTTTCGTCTTGTGAATGAGGTTACTGGAGGCCCAATCCCTGCTCCTCACACGGCGAAATGTAACGGAAGCGTTGTTTATCGCTCATATTCTGTGAAGGCGTGGTATCACTCCAGTCGAATCGGCCCATTCATGCCGATGCTTCGGCATGCCGGCGCTTCGCTCTCCCACACTTATGTATAAATATGTAGGTACAATAATAATTATTTTGTGTAATTCTCACAAATAAAGTAATAAATTATATATTTTGCAGAAACGGTCTCTACGCTCTAAGAACTGGATCAAGCTCGCCATTTTAAATAAAGCAACAACTAACTATCGATAATATGAACATGCACTGAGTTGAAATAAAATCTTACTTTTTAAATGCTGATAATTCTTTTATTTTGTTCTGCACATTACTCCAACGAAACTTTTAGTCACCGTTACCAGAATCGTCATAACTGCTTCTTCGATAATGTAATCAATTGTTTGATTGCGAAATATTTTTGTAATGCATTGCATCATTGTGTTATTGTCCGTCGTATTAGTCAGTCAACGATTAATCTCGCCCCATCCAAGACCGTTGGTCCAGGTCCAACCCTTCAAAAAAACTACAATGGAGAATTAATTAACAAATTTATAATTTCTTACAAAATTCTGCCCTTTCAACTTCCATACATCAGTAAGCTCCAAAACTAGACAATTTTATGAGTTGCATACTATTAGGTACTCATTTTTCATTTAACAGTGCCTACTATATTATTTACGCATAAACTGGCGTTTTGTCACATTTCTAATAATTAATAAATAAGTCATAAAAAATTACATCACCATTTCATACCGGTGTCTTATTAAAATACAATACTTTTTTGTTTACGAGCTGCAATCAATCAGCTGACTTATGTATGTGAACTATTTAAGTGTGGTAGAGCCATACCTCGGCACGAATGGGTCGGCTCGACCGGAGTGATACCACGGTCTTACAGAAAACCGGCGTGAAACAACCACAGCGTTGTGTTTCGCCGTGTGAGTGAGGTTACCGGAGGCCCAATTCTTCCCCTACCCAAATCCCTCCTCAATCACTAAATCTCCAAAATCCCTAATCCCTAAAAGGTCGGCCTGTTTGCTTCCGTAGGTAATCCGTCTGCTCGTTTGCCGACCTATTACATAAAAAAAAGTTTTTGCAACATAATACAAAAACCCGTTTGTTAGGGATAGGTAAAATAATTATAATTATTTAGAATTCAAAAATTCAACGAAGTTTTATAATGGTACATTATGGTATAAGTGTGTAATGTTGGTGATTACTGCTGAGGGACCTAAAGGAGCCGAGGACGGTAATCATCAATACACCCGTGTATCATACGACGTTTATCAACACACTTCTGAATAAAATAATACTTAAATAAAAATTCTACTTGCAGACATCCTAATTAAATAGCCTCAAAAGAGAAAACGAGACGAGTTGTAAAAAATGTTTGGTAATGGCGGGAAAAATTGATCAGGATTCGTATGCGCGCGCATCGGCCACACACAAAAAATTGGGGTTCTCCGGGCTTTTCGCGGATAGCATTTTAGCGCTTGTTTAAGCGTAACTCAATTAATATTATAATATTATTGTATATTATATAATAAATTTATAATTATAAATAAAAAAAACTCTATAAATATGAAAAAGTCACAGTTTGATTATAGGTGACATGTGCCTAATTGCCATGGGATTCAAGAAAGTTTATGAGGAAGTGTGTTGAAAAAAAATATTAAATTGACGCCTGCCTGCACGACGTTGCTGATACGCGCACGATGTTAATGAAAAAGATTGCCGTTGTGACTTCAAACTAGTAGAGCTTTTATCAGTGGTGATTTCAAATCTATACCATCCGATTGTGGCCATCGCTTTTGTAGGAGTAGTTTTGCTGACCGCTTACAAATTCCAAATAGTTAATGTACGATAATTATATTATATATCATAATCATTTCTCGTCACAAATAACGATGCGGTTCAGAATTTCCTTAATTTTTATTCTACTTGAGCAGTGCAAATCACGTCATTTGTCAAGCCTTTTTACCTTGTTTATTTGACACAAACTGACCCATATTTGTTTTACTGCTAACATCAGAAGCTGCTGCTAATTCAGTCGTAGATTAGGCTTCATCAACTTCCAAGTTCGCCTTTAATTTATCTTTGTCGAATTTCAAGTCAAAATATCCAAGTTGGAAGCGGACACACCAATTAAGAGTGGTGCGTTTGTTTGTGAGTGATAAATTCCGTTGATATTGCGAGCCGCTAGTACTTCTTTGCATTCATAACGGTATTCGTACTTCAAAAACCTCAAATTACAAAGTAAAATGTAGAGCTATGCGTTGAAAAAAAACTTGCAAAATAAACTCTAATTATAAAAAAATAAGAGAAATAAAAAAAAAGAATTCCATGATCTAGAAATAAAATAAATTTAAAATTAGAATTATCAGCCAATAAAATAAAATTGCTATTTTAAATGGCCAGTACCTGCGGCAGGGTGACCTCTTTTATAAATGCGTCGAATTAGTAGTTCTTTCATGTACTTCCATTAATGTAATAAATCAAATAAATCAGATAATAATCTAATTCACTTGATTTTTTAATCACGTATTGTTATTATTTTAATCATAAATATTATCTCACGTCACTGATACGGCATGTGATAATCACAATGAAATTACTACCAATCCTTATATCGACGGAATGCCTATTTATGTTTTTGCGTGATCAGTTTAATCAATTAGGTACTTCAAATCCAACAAAATTATTACGCCGCGGATTTTTTTACAAGATGTTATGGAGTTTTCAAAGACACGTACAAAATATCGCGCCTGTCTTTTATTCTACACGAAGAAAACTTTCGTCGATGAAGTTTGTATTTAACTATACCTTTTTTATCAGAATATCCTCAATTTAGTTGATATAATATGCCCCTGTTTTTTTGTCAGGAGAAAATCATCTAATAACTGCTCCCGCCCAGGGTCAGGCGAGAGAGAGGGTCAGACTCTTACTGAGTAAAGACAACCCCGTTCCTTCTCCTGCTCAAATCAAATCAAATCAAAATCATTTATTTCAACTAAACCATAGATAGGTACTTTTGAAACGTCAAAATAGAATTGTAGTAGTCTGTTCGTCAGTGAAGCTAGGTTGCGTTGTCTATTGGTGGTCTTTGAGGCGCACGCGGATAGCTACGCGCCGTACGCTCGGGACTGGTTCTGGTCGGGCAACGACCTACCCTTACTCTTCGCCCGCAGACCCGCACTTAGAGGGGCCGGAGATCGTCTCTTGACCACCGAAGCCCAGAGTGTCGGCTACTGCGTCGTCTGAGGCATGAGGTGGATGCCGCTCTGCCTGTGTTATGTTTACACGTCTGCCTCCTCCTTTGCGAGCATCAATGCTTTACAAAAAGACGAGACGGCTTCCCAGTTCCTCTCATCCATGGCCTTGAATAAGGAGGGACGCGAATGGTCGCCACCGCCGATCACTTCCCTGAGAACACGGCGGTGCTCAGCTCAAACAGAGCACATCCTCTTCTGGCTCACCCAACTGTGCTCGCTCGAATAATCTCTTTCGTCAACTCTCATCAACAGGCCCTAATCTTTTTAGGATGACCGAACCACTTTTTAGGCTTAATCCTATAATTCGTAAACGTATCACAATTTTCATTAGACACCGGCTTAATATATTACTGAAAAATGTTCACGATACATATTTATAATAATTGCCCCTAATAAAGTAATAGATATGGGAGCTCGAACACTTTTAATTTTGTTGTATCCTGAAAATCTACCAATTAATTTGATTAAAAGATTAAAAATAATCGAATAAAATCTAAGATATTTGGAAACCTCAACGAAATTTTAAGTATAGTGTAGTCACTAATTGCCTAATTATTACATAACAAAATATATAAAAGGAGAGGGCGAAGAACCAAAATGGCATCTAATACTTAAAGTATATGGTTTCATTTCATTTACACGTAGTTCTTATGTTAACGTGGATTAAACGTGAAATAATCAATCACATATCGCCGACGAAACATTGTCATAATCTATCTTATTGGAAAATAATTCAAATGTGTTTTGATAGTTTAATGAGATAAAATCGTTTATAAAAGCAATTATAGGTTTGAGCCGATTTAATTGCACTTCAAGCCATGAAGTTTTTGGTAGTGTTGGCTGCCTTGGTGGCATGTAAGTAACTACATAACATACCTACCTATTTATTTATAAAAAAATATATTTTTAACAATT